AGTATCCTGGCTATCTGTTTATTAGATTCATGGCCCTCCTGGGTGGTGAGGGCCATCCAGGAGGTAACATGCGCTGGGTCCATGTGATAGTATAGTTGAGGGAGAGGGTGTCATCTGATGGGACCCAGGAAGCAGGTCTTCTCTGTCATAGAACCTGCCCTCTGGAAGGACAATCCCATAGAGAATAATATGGGTCCCACCCTGGCTTTCTTTAAATGAACCCTTAAAACTTGGCTCTTCCCCCATTTATTCCCCAGACCCTTGAGGAATAAATGGTTGTCAGAAACTGCTTATTTTTCTCTGGACATTTGTTGTTCCTTTCTACTGTTAAAAATGCCACATAAAGTTGTGATGGAGTTGGGTGGCCATATAAGATAAATAGTCAGACAGACAAGACAAGACAGGACAAGACATAGGGTCTTCCTGGCAGCAACACTTTCAAGGAAATAAGGTTAATTTCTGCCTTCATTTTACTCTTGAAGGCCAGTAAAGATTGTTCTGTTCTACTGGGCATACTTTGTCCCCATCTAATCCCAATCTAGAATTTATTGATTGGGTTTTGCTTCTGCAAGTTTGAATTCTATTTTTATTGTACATCAGCCCAGGTGCCTGCTTATGTGCCATCAAGTTGGTTCTTAGTGACCACACAGGTAGATTTTCTTCAGGATGATTTGTCAACCAACTAATCCTTCAGGCCTTCCAACAGTGACCCATCATCGCTGTAATTGAATCCACCTACTATGCTGCTGGTCGTCTTCTTCTCTTCCCTTCTACCTTTCCAGCATTAGAGCCTTCTCCGGAGAGCTAGGTCTTCGCATAATCTGTCTGAAGTAGGATAATTTGAGCCTGGCTATTTGTGCCTCGATGGAGAACTCTGGGCCCATTTGTTCATTTTCTTGGCTATCCATGGTATTCCTAGGAGTCTTCTCCAAAACCAAACTTCAATAACTTCAGTATTTTTCTATCCTATTTCTTCAAAATCCAAAGCCAGTTGCTTACTATAAGCATATTATGAGCTTCTAAGATTATAAACACATTAAATAAGAACAGGATGGAGTTTGTGGATTGGGGCAATCGTAAGTTTTCCTGTGTTTTCAGCGCTATCTGGATGAGGCTGAACGGGAGAAGCAGCAGTACATGAAGGAGCTGAGGGAATACCAGCAATCAGAAGCTTACAAGCTGTGTGCTGAGAAGATGCAAGAGAAGAAAATCAAGAAAGGTCAGTTTGGTGGTTGCATCTGAGGCTGTTCTAGATAATTTGAGAATTTTATTTAGAGCAGGAGGAAGCTAGGGAGATAAGTGCCTGGCCCAGAGAGAGATGATACTTGAAAATCCAGCAGAGGGGAATTGTACAAGTTGTCTCTTAGTGATTCCCTATTGCTGTATTTCTTCATCGTATTGCTGTTCTAAAGGGATATATTTAGCTTTTCGTTCAATAATGTATGTATGCAACAAAGTAATTAATGGACTCTAGACTCTAAAAAAATGCTTGTTAACTTTGTAATACAATCTGTATCTATATATTTTATTTTATGCATTTAAATACATTTTTCTGAAAAGAGGTCCGTAGGTTTCACCGGACTCGTGGCACAAAAAGGTTAGGAACCCCTGACTTATAGACTTCCCCAGTAGTTTGCTGTCCCACTCCCCTCCAGCTGATCTCTCAGCCTCCCTTGTAATTGCTCTTTAAAAAGAACCCTCCCTATGGGTGATGGAAAGTGGAGCGGCAAGAGTAATGCCTACTTATGTTTCCAAGCAGGCTGATGGCTACATAATAATTAGCTAGCCATCCGTTTGATTTACCCAACATCAGAAACATAGTCAGATGAGCTAACCTAAGACAAGGTTGCAAACAAGATTGTATTGAGGAATGAGAACTACCTGCTCTTCCTGGAGACCAGCCCTTTTTAGATAAGATGCCATGAAGACTGGTGAAGATTTCCATCCCATTTTAATTTGATGCATCGTTGGAAAGGAAAAGATAGATTGCCAGGCTATCGGATTTCTTTTTTTTTTTTTCCTGATCTCCAAAGGGATGAACAAACATTGCCCACAATCAGATGCTCCTCAGCCTTTGTGCATAATTGCTGGCAAATATTTCCATTTAAATTTCCGACTGTAAAGTCTTATTTCCACAATATCACTCAGTGTAGGTATCCTTGGTCCAAGTGAGTATGAATCTCTTCTTTTCCTTGCATATTCCCTTCCCTCCCCTCCACTCTGCTATCTTGAAGTTAAAAGTTCTAGGATGGTCTGTTAGGTAGGATAGACGGTTTCTTTGGAGGGGCTTAATTCAAATCATGACTGCATTATCAACTCCTTGGTACCTGTTCGGTTAACTATCTTTTTTTTTTTAATATATTTTAGAGGATGCTGGTCCTGGAACTGTGAACACATTGCTAAATGGATACAAGGTAAGCAGCTTGTCAGGGTTTAAGGGAAGGCTTCAGATCTTGCTTGAGGAATATCAAACGTGAAAATGAGAAATTGTGTTTGTGGATATTTTCTGGTTACTAGTCACCTACGTAAGGGATCTCTCCATCTATCAGCCTTACCTTTTACCTAGCATACAGAACGTGATCTGTTTAATATAGCAAAGAGTATACTTTCTCTAGGCCTTTTTCCCCCCAGGCAGCAGTTGTAGGTATTTGCAACAGAGCTGCAAGCTGCAATATCGAAACATTTATATCTGAATGTCAAAGAGAAAAAAAACCCCAGCAATTTGAGCCTAGAAACTACAGATAAACTGCAAAAAAGACAGTTCTGTTGATGTAGTTTTTGACAGTTCTAGAAATTATATTTAGAATTTGCATGAAAGCTTTCTGTTGTGGTCTTATGATCTTCCTACTGATTTGAAAATTAGGGAAAAAATTAAAAGTATGTTCATTGCTCAGAAAAATCCATTTGGTGCTGCCTAGATAAAGCTGTTTTAGTCTCTTGAGCATTAAATAGAGGGTGGTTGTGTTCTTTTTATTAACTGCCCGTGACTGTTTATTCTTCTAAAATAGAAGAAGAATCATAGATACGTTATTTATGTTTTATCCTCTGTTAGCTTTGTCTTGGAGCTTTGATACTAGACATGTGGCACACTCATGTTTACAAATAAATGGGGCGGGGGTGAGAGAAAATCTGCTGAATTATGCACCTTGTAGCTCCATTGCAATACACATTTCATTGCCAATTCTGAACAAGAAAGGATATTATTTTCTAAGACACCATTTGTTCCCAGATTTCCAGTTTTTCCATGCTGAGCTGAGAAAAATATGTAATCTTTGAGCTACTAACACTTTTCACTTAGCTTTCTTACCTGTATTTTCTTGCAGACTGGGGAAAGTGGCAGTGATGGCTTCTCAACGTTTGATGTCCCGATTTTTACAGAGGAATTCTTGGACCAGAACAAAGGTATACATGAAGCTCTTGAAATATGCTCAGTATTAAGATAGGGTGGGTTTTTCTTATGGACACTGGGGCATACCAAATAACATTTAATTTCTTCCCTCTACCCTGTTCTCCAAAAGCCATGAGCAATGGCTGCAGCCTGAATCTCAGACCTAATAGGAATGAATTGTTGGGCTGAGTGACTGTCTATGTATGTTAAAAGGGCGTGTTACCTTTTCTATTTCTTTATATATACCAGAGATGTCTCTTTTTACAAAGAAGCTTGGATCCACGATGATTTGAAGATAGGTTTGAAACTGAAATATACCCAAATTTTCACGGGATGTTGCGGCTTTATTAAAATGTTAATTGGCTTGAGGAAGGAGGACCAGCTTGGCTTAAAATGGCTAGAAGAATCTGGAACTGGGCTTTTTTGCCTTCAGTTGAGATGGAAGGGAGATTGCGGTATTAATCACTTAATGGAAATGTTTATTTGCATATAATGCTAGAGATGGGTATTAGCACTTTACAAGAGGCTAGTTCTAATACTTACCATCTAAAGCAAATGACTCGATTAACAGATCTTGCTAAGCTATGCAAGACAATTGTTAAACAATTGTTAATTGTTAATTGTTAAACAATTAACAATTGTTTATTAAATGAATCACAGTTGGCTCAGTTCACAAATTGGGCTAAATCATAAAAACCACAGTAGCTTTGTTTCTAGTACATGCTAGGTCAAAAAATAAAGAAATCACCTTGGCTTTGAGAAGTGTTGGCTTCGTGAAGTGTCTGAACCAGATCACTTTCTGTTTTGGCTCTCTTCATAAAGCACCTGGGAGATCCTGCCTAGGTATTCCCATCAGGATTCCTCATTAGATACTAAATCTTCCAGAACCATTTCTCCAGCAATTGGGGGAGAAGGCAAGCAGTGCACAGAAGTACAGTTCAGATGACATTGGTAAACCCAACTGGCTACATTCATGCTAAGCCACTAGGAGAGTCTACTTATTGCTAGGACATTATGGAAGACAAATAGACTGTCCATAAAACCAGCTTCTCCCAGTCTGGTGCCTCTAGTTGTGTTGGGACTGTAACTCTCAAAATGCCTAACCCACACAGCCAAAGTCTGGGGATTCTGAGAGTGTAACTAACATATTTGGAAAGTGTCAACTTGGGGCAAGTTATAGCAGGCAATTGCCTGTTTTTATCATGGGACTGGGGACAGAGGAGGAAGGAGCAGGCAGGAGAATTGTGACCCATGTTTTTGTTTTTGATTCTGGCCCTCTTCCCCCCCCCCCCGCCCCTTTCTCTTTTTGCTGGAGCAGCCCGGGAAGCCGAACTGCGGAGACTGCGTAAGATGAACACGGAGTTTGAGGAGCAGAATGCCATCTTGCAGAAGCACACAGAGAGCATGAGCTGTGCGAAGGAGCGCCTAGAGCAAGAACTTGCACTGGAGGAGAGGCAGACAGTGGCGTTGCAACGAGCGGCTCCGAGACGGTGCGCCAAGCTCGGACAGCCAGTTTTGCCA